CCCATCTCTACCAAAAAAAAGAAAAAAGAAAAAAACAGACAATTGTCTAACCTATGCCCCTATTGGATAGAAATTGAGAAGGTAAATGCTATTTAATCAGAAATAAAAGCATTATAGCCTGACACAAAAACCACAGGATGGCACCAAATAGTTGCTGACTTTTCCTCTGGACTCACCTCTTGGTCCACACCCAGCCTCCTCCAGGGCATCAGGCAGCCTCACCTCTCTCATCTCATCTTCCTTCTCCCTCTTGTCCTCCCATGGACCCTCAATCTCTCCACAAACCAGTAGGAATCATGAGCCCTGGCTCGAGTCAGTCAGTTCCACCTGGTCTTCAGGCCGAGGAGCTGGAGGAGGTGCGGACCTGGGAAGCTGAGGGTCGGGGGATTGTGTAAAGGAACAGGACCTTGTGTAAAGGACCTTTCTGGGATACTTCAGGCCTCTCTCAGTGAGGTAGGCTGGCTCAAAAAACACCCACAACAATCCTTCCGATCCTGCAAGCCTTGGTGCAGTATGACTTTGCCACTCTTCCTCTAAATCCATGGACCCCATGGTCCTCCTATGGGGCCCCGGCTGGCCTAGTGACTTGCTTTAGTCAACGGAACATAGCAGAAGTGACAGTGTGTGACTCTCAGGCCTTGACAAGTAAAGGTTTTGTCTTGCTGGAACCCAGCTGCCCTGCTGTTTAGAAACAGTGTTGGCCCAGCACAGTGGCTCATGCCCGTAATCCCAGCACTTTGGGAGGCTAGGGCGGGCAGATCACTTGAGCCTAGGAATTCGAGACCAGCCTGGGCAACATGGTGAAACCTGTCTCTACAACAAAATACAAAAAAGCAGCTGGACATGGTGATGCGCACCTGTAATCCCAGCTACTTTGGAGACTGAGGTGGTAGAATAATCTGAGCCAGGGAGGTCGAGGCTGCAGTGAGCCGAGGTTGCACCACTGCACTCCAGCCTGGGTGACAGAGTAAGACCTTGTCTAAAAAAGAAAAAAAAATCTGTCCCATGAAAATGACTGAGAGGCCACTCCATGGAGGAGACCTGGGGGCCTCCCACTGCTACCAGCATGCTGCCCACCTGAAGGAGGCTGGCTTAGACCTCCTGGCTGAGGTGCCATCTGACTGCAACCTGCAAGTGGCCCAGGCGAGAACTGCAGCAAAACCATCCACATGAGCCCAGTCCAGACGGCAGACTTATGAGCAAATAAATGGCTGTCGTTTTAAGTCACTAGGTCTTGGGGGCTGGGGGTTGTTACCTGCAAGATCATTCAAACACTTGCTAAAGTGACTCCTTTAGCCCAACTCTAATGTGTTATTATACTAATCCCCCTTCTCCATCTTACCAGAAACTTGTCTTATCATCTTAGCTTGGCATGAGCCAGGGCCCCAGGAATGGGTGGAGATAAATGTCCCATCTCCGGAATAGGGTGAGAGAAGAACGAAATGAGCTCAACCCAGCACACTGAATTAGCGGAAGTAATTCAGCCTACCAGTTATATCTCTAAGTATTGAGCGAGAGCCTGAAATACCTTCCGCATTGTTTTGGATTCATCAGAAGTACAAAGATATATCTCATAGCATATCTGCCATCAGGAAACTTAGGTTTCAGAAGAGGAGTTAAGACTCATAAACCACTGGGCTCAGTAGCTCATGTCTGTAATCTCAGTGCTTTGGGAGGCCAAGGTGGGAGGATCACTTGAGGCCGAAAGTTTGAGACCAGCCTGGGCAATATAGTGAGACCCCATCTCTAAAAAAAATTTTTTTTAATTAGCTGGGCATGGTGGTATAGTCTTAGCTACTTGGGGTGCCAAGGCAGGAGGATTGCTTGGACCCAGGAGTTTGAAGCTGAAGTTACCTATGATTGATTACACCACTGCACTCCAGGATGCTCAACAGAACAACACCCTGCTTAAAAAAGAAAAAAACAAAAAAGACTCAGAACTTAAAAATGCCAGGCAACTCAAGATCATTATGTGTGTGAAATGACTCTGAATGCTATGAGCTCAGAGAAAAATTCTGGAGCTATTGGGGAGGACAGAAGGTGAAGGTGTGGCTTGAAAGAGACATTGAGGATGAGGAAGATTGACTGAAATCATAAACATTATTTTTAGGTCCCCTGAGTGTAGGTATAAAGGCATACATAAGCTTGCTGAGGAGAGAGACAGCTGGAATGCCGAGAGAATTTCCAAGGGCAGCAAACGCACCAGCCCAACCAGATGAAGAAGCGTCTCCCAAGCCATTGCTCTCACTCAGTGCTGCCCTGAGAGTTCGTTGGGATGTTTCAATGACAGTAACAGCCCACACCATCAGAGCCTTCTTCTTGGCGTTGCATTGTGTAAAGCTCTGCAGGAAGACAGTACCTCTAGGAATGCACCTGTCATCAAAGCAGGGTCCACCCAGTTAGGAAACAAGGCCAGGCCGATCCAGAAGGACTTGGCTGACTATTGCACTCACCAGGAAAGAAGGTGCACACTTGTTTGCATTTGTGGTCACACTGTGGCTCAGCAATGATTATTCCACCAACTAAGCCACTTCCGAAATCACAGTTCCACGTATGGCATAAAGGGCGGCTTCACCTGCCCTGGCTAATGTCTGGAACATTCACAGAGCCACACACTGCCCCTGGGGAATGCCAGTGTCATGAAGTCTCTCTGGGAAGGGTCGGCCACACCTCTCTAGCTTCCCTCTTCCCTCCCTCTGGGGGATGCCACCCTTCCTGCCAGGCTGCCTCTGGCCTCTCCATGTCACTTCAGCCATGCCAGGGCACTGATCTCACCGGGAGGCTGCACCTCCTCCATCCTACAGAAATGACAGTCACACCCACCAACTGCCTCAACTTGGAGAAGCTATTTTAAGACCACACCTACCCTAAGGGAAGTTAAACAGCCAGTATGTTTGCTCCCAATCTACTTATGGAGAAACTGAATCAAGATCTGACTTACCAGGGCAATCTCAACGATTCAGTGACTCATTGAGTTCAGAATTCCACAAAGCCTAACCAGAGCCTGTGTGCCCTCAGGCATGTCACCCTCTATGCTGTATCGTGGAGGTAGGACCTGCCTGGTTCCAGCAGTTTTGCCCACAGCTCTGCTATGGATCCCGCCTCTCAGACCCTATTATGTTTTGGTCATTGAATCTGTAATACTGAATCCCACATAGACTTGCAAGTCAAGGAATTCTGGCTGAGTAGGATTCTCTCTGCTTATGATAGAGACACTCCCAACAAATGTGCATCTTTGTGTGTGTCTGTCCATTCAGATGCAATCAATGGCAGTAAATTCTTTGCACTGTGATAAGAATCTCTAGCAAAGAATCAACAAGTTGAGGACTTAAGTCTTAATGCAGGTGCAATCTGTAAGGGGATTTTTTTTTTTTTTTTGGATTTTTTTTTTTTTTTTTGGAGATGGAGTCTTGCTTTGTCACCCAGGCTGGAATGCAGTGGCACCATCTCGGCTCACTGCAACCGCCGCCTCCCGGGTTCAAGCGATTCTCCTGCCTCAGCCTCCCAAGTAGCTGGAATTACAGGCGTGCGCCACCAATCGGGCTAATATTTGTATGTTTAGTACAGACGGGGTTTCACCATGTTGTTTAGGCTGGTCTCAAACTCCTGACCTCGTGATTCCTCTGCCTCGGCCTCGCAAAATGTTGGGATTACAGGGGTAAGCCACCGCATGTGGCCTGTAAGGGGATTCTTACAGGAGGCCCGCTAGGCCAGGCATCTGTTCTGTTGAACTCTGAGATGCCTCTTCTGTTTGATTCTATTTGGCACTTACCTGTGCCAGGAAAGTGCCCAGCAGTGAGAAGCCTCTGGGTTGACTTCCTTCCTCCAGGAGGGAAGGACTAAGTTTATGAAGCAGTCAGGCTGGGAAGGCCACTCTACAGCTTCCCATATGTTATGCATGTTCACCAACCTCAGAGATTGCCCCACTAGCATATGTGGACAAGTCAAGGCTCAGAAAGGTTACCTCGACGGTTCTCACATAGGTGAGGGGAGGGGTGGGCTCGCACCTGCACATGGCAGGCTGCAGGGGGTGCTGCTCGCTGGCCCGGCCTGAGGCCTTCCCGGCTCTCTCCCGCCCCTCCTGTCCTGGAGCCCAGCAAGCCGCACCCCCGTCTCCACCACCTCGGCCCCCCTTTCTGGGGCACTCACGTCTCTACCGGCCAGATCTCCTCTATCTTTCCAGGCCCAGGCCTCCCCCGCGCTGACGCCCACAAACCCTGCGGTCAGACCCTCTTCAAGGACCCCCTACAGCTGCCCCTCTCTCAGGGTCCTTCGGGTGATCATGTAGTCACTGCAGCTCCACATCCCGTACGCCCGGGATCGCACCCAGCAAGTCCTTGCTGGGGCGTCCATGAGTGTCCCCACCCCGCCGCCCCGCCACTGGGCGCCCGGGACTCGGCTCAGACGCGCGGAGGGAAGGCAGGGCGGCTGCAGAGAGCAGAGCCGAGGAGGAACCGAAAGGCTCAGAAACGCGGTGTGACCAGCGCCCTCCTGGACAAACCTCCCCGGGCCCCGCGCCATCGCCGCGGCCACGCGCAGCGCCGCGGGTCGCCGCCCCTCCCAGACCTCCGAGCCCCGAGCTCAGGCTCCGTCCTCTTCCCCAAGGAGCTACTAATCACGCCCCAAGGACGTTGGCCCCCGGGGAAGGGGAGGACCCCAGGCCTGCGCCCGGCTGCGGGGAGGCGCCCCGCCCTCCCCCCCTCCTCCTCGCCCCTCTTAGTTTCTCTCCCTTTTCTTCTCCTCTTCACTCAGCCCTTTTTCCTCTCCACACCCAGTCCCTTGTCCCCTCTTCGCTCACTCCACCCCACTTTCCTTCTTCCCTCCCCAGTGGGTCCCTCTCCCCCTTTCCTCTCCCCTACAACCTCCCCTCTCCACTCCCCACCGTCCCTCTCGCCTCCCCGGTCCCCCCTGCTCCGCCTCCCCATTCGGGTCACCCTGTCCCAGTCCCCCTCTTCCCCCCTCTTCCGCCCCTCCCTCCCTCTCCTCTCCCCTCTCCCGCCCAGCGTCGTCCTCCCCACTCCTCCGCACCCCGCCAGTCCCCTCGTCCCCGCCCCGCCGTCTCCTGGCGCCGGCGTAACCGCTCGTCCCACCTCCCTCCCAGCCAATCGCTCTTCTCCTCCGCTCGGGGACGCTTCCCCGGGGAATCCTGTGGCCGGAGATGCTCGGTCGAGTCGCGGGTATGTGGTCACTGTGCGGGGGCCGCTGCGGGTGCAGAATCCAGACCCGGGGTGTAGCAACCTCACAACTCCCCGTGCAGAAGAAACCAGAAGATCTGGGCGCGGGTCCAAGGTGGTCCGCACAGCCGTGGTTTAGCCGAGGTCGGCGCGCTACACTTAGTCCCGTGTGCAGTGCTTTCTGGCCACAGCAGCTTCCCTAGAAGTGACCCCACTTGGGTCAGAACCACCCAGCCGGGCAGCTGGTATTTTCCCCCTTTCGCAGAGGGAGCGGCGCGCGTCGGGAGACGCAGTGACTCGCCAGGGTCAGACCCAGAGCGTCCTCCCCAAGCAAGGCCGAAGGCAGGGTGAGCATAGGGGCGTTCTCCGTCTGCCCTGGCTCGGGTGCACTGGCCTGGACTCCTCTGTGCAGGTTCCATGGTGTAGAGAGACGGCTCGAGTGCAGGCGGAGTTTAAGGGAAGGGGGTTTTGACTGCGGGAGCGGACAGAAAGGACTAAATCCAAAGGGTCCCCTTGGACCTGAACCTTCTGCTACATGCCTGGCCGATAAAAGGGGAATCTGCGTTTTGTTTTGTTTTTTTAAGCCCAAAATAGAAAAGCCTTGGGAGCCAGAATGGCAGAAACCCCAGAACGACAGCGCTAGAAGCGCGCAGCTCGGTGCATTCCCCAGCCTGGCTGCCCTGCAGGGCCGCGCACGTTCCAGCGCTCAGGGGCTCAGGGACGGCGCCGCAGGACACACCCCAAACACAGAGCACAGACGAAGTTAGAATGAGCAGGCTGCACCTGGGACCACGCTGCCCCTCGCTGGCTCTGCCCCAGTCTCTCTGAACAGCAGGCCCCTGCCTCAAAGCCCGAGGGTGTTCGCATTTGCTGCTGTGGCTTCTCGCAGATACCTGCAGAGCTTCGCTCCCCGACCCCCTTCAGATCTTACAGAAGGGCCTCCTTCCAAACCAGGCCTTCCCTGTTCCCTGGCAACTGGTTTTTAAATCACAGCACCCCCCACCCCCTGCAATTCACAGTCCCTCCTTAGTCCCTTCACTGCTTAGTTTTTTTTTCTTTTCCTTAGCCCTTGTCGCAGTCAAACTTGAATGCGTTTGTGAATCACCTGAGGACCTTGCTACAACACAGATGCGAATTCACTTGGTCCAGGGTGGGTTCCCAAGTTTCTAACGAGCGTCCGTGATACTCTGCTGCTCCCCACCTGCCGGTGGATCTGCGAGGGCCTTTGACTTACAAAGGGTCCAACATGCAGATAATATAGAATAGTTTATTTTTCCTATGTATTTTGGTTTACTATCTCCCCAACTTGAATGTGAGTTCCACCAGGATAGAGCTCTGGTCTGCTGTGTTTGCTGCTATATTCTCAGTACCTGGAACAGGCCTGGCACATAGTAGGAGCACTACGTTATTTTCAGAAGGAAGGAGTGAATGAAATACAAACCAGAAAAGCCAGCAGAGGTGATAAACCTAACATTATACAAAGTGAAAGTCAAGGGGCAAATTATGAAAGAAACAAAGGTTTTACACTCATTTTTTAAAAGGGAGAAATAACAGTCACAAGCCCTTAGGTCCTAAAGTAAAAACTGTCTCCCCAAAAAAGGGAAATTGCAAATACTACATTGATTTTAGAAAGGTTAACTCCTATCTTGGTCACATCTCAGAAGCAAAAAGTGACGTAGAAGACTTGAGTAAAGAAATTAATGGCCAGGCGTGGTGGCTCATGCCTGTAATGAGGCCGAGGTGGGCGGATCACTTGATGTCAGGAGTTTAAGACCAGCCTGGGCAACATGGGGTAACCCCATCTCCATTAAAAACGCAAAAATTCGCTGGGCGTGGTGTCAGGCACCTGTAATCCCAGCTACTCAGGAGGCTGAGGCAAAAGAATCTGTTGAACCTGGGAGGCAGAGGTTGCAGTGAGCTGAGATTGTGCCACTTCACTCCAACCTGGGCAACAGAGTGAGACTCTGTCTCAAAAAAAAAAAAAAAAAAAAAAAAAAAGGATAAACAGGACCTGTGTATTTACTAGTTTATTGTTGTAAATATATATAACATAAAATTTACCATGTTAACCATTTTAAGTGTGCCGTTCAGTGGCAAAGTACATCCACATTATTGTACAACCATCACCACTGTCCATCTCCAGGACTTTTTCATCTTCCCAAATTCTATACCGATTAAACCCTCCAACACCTGGTAATCACTATTATAATTTTTGTCTCTGAATTAGACTACTTTAGGTACCTCGTATAAGTGGAATCATATACTACTTATCCTTTTGTGACTGGCTTATATTACTTAGTATGATGTCTTCAAGGTTCATCCATGTTGTAGCATGTATCTGAATTTCATTCCCTTTTTTCTTTTTCTTTTTTTTTTTTTTTTTTTGAGACCAAGTCTCACTCTGTCAACCAGGCTGGAGTGTCATGATGCGATCTCAGCTCACTGCAACCTCCGCCTCTGAGGTTCAAGCAATTCTTCTGCCTCAGTCTCCCAAGTAGCTGGAATTACAGGCACCCACCTTCATGACTGGCTAATTTTTGTATTTTTGTAGAGATGGGGTTTCACCAAGTTGGCCAGGCCGGTCTTGAACTCCTGACCTCAGGTTATCTGCCCACCTTGGCCTCCCAAAGTACTGGGATTACAGGTTACCCAAGCCTGGCCTCATTCCTTTTTTATAGCTGAATAATAACCCATTGTATATATACACATTTGTTTCTCCATGCATCTGTTGATACACACACGGGTTGCTTCTACCTTTTGGCTATTGTGTCTAATGCTGCTATAAGCATGGGGGTACAAACAGCTATTCAAGTTTCTGCTTTCAGTTTTTTTGGGAATATACCCAGAAACCCAGAAGTGAAACTGCTGGATCATACATTTCATTTTTTGAGGAACTCGCATACTGTTTTCTGTAGCGGCTGCACCATGTGAACTAAAGGTTAAAATGAACGTCTCGCCGTCGCTATGGAGAGGGGCCTGGACTAGTTGTCCTAGGGTTTTTTCTAGCTCTGCTGGCCTGTGGTTAGGGAAATGTGAGGATGAACAACAGGGAAGGGAAGTGGCTTGGAAGGACGCGGGCAGTCTTCCAGTTCAGATGCTGGAAGTGGTGGTGGTGAGGGTGGGGGAAGGGTGTTTATGAAGTCATAATCCAGTTATGGACCTCAGGACATTTGGGCTGGGAAAGGTAGACCTACGCCAGTTTGGAGTACTAGGCAATGAGGGGGAGGTCCCTGCACCTTAAGGAGGCCTGAGAAAGAAGAACCTCGCATGTATCAGGGAGTCCCAGAGAAAATGGTGCAAGGAGCAATGCCCAGTAGCCAGCCGTCCTCAATGTCATGGCCCCGGAGGCCAGAACAGTAGAGAAATTCAAGGTGCAGAGCCCGGTTCCCTCACATGGGCAATCTGGCCCACTGGCTCTTACCATTCACATATCTGTGAACATGGCCTTATTTGGAAACAGGGTCTTAGCAGATCTGATTATGTAAAGATGAGGTCCTATTGGATCAGAGTGGGCCTCATAAGACAAGGGGATTGGGCGCACAGACACACACCTGTCCTGTGGGCAGGTGAAGAAACTGGAGCAAATGCCAGCTCCCTGAACAGAACAGAGTGAGCCTGACAGTTGGGCATCTGTCCAAATCACACGAGCGGACCCAGCAGGAGCAGTACCTGTCCAGTGGACAAGCGGCCCACGCAATCAGAACGGCCGGGAAGAGGCTGATGCTTCCAGCCACGTTTTGTCTCCTTGCCCTCATTTGGGCAGAGGTAAAGAAGGAGCACTGCCGGCTACACATGGTGGATCACGCCTGTAATCCCAGCACTTTGGGAGGCTGAGGCAGGCGGATCACTTGAGGTCAGGAGACCAGCCTGGCCAACATGGTGAATCCTTGTCTCTAACAGAAATACAAAAATTACCCAGGCATGGTGGCACATGCCTGTAATGACTGCTTGGGGAACTGAGGCAAGAGAATTGCTTGAACCCAGGAGGCAGAGGTTGTAGTGAGCCGAGATTTCACCACTGCACTCCAGCCTAGGTGACAGAGGGAGACTCTGTCTCAAATGCATACATACATGCATACATACTTACATACATACATAAAATATTTTAAAAATAAAAAAGAAAGAGCACTGCCTAGCATCACTTTGGCAGGTTCATCTCCACAACCCGTGATCATCCTGTTCAGTTTTTATGATTTGGACCAGGTGGACCCGTGGCTTAAAGGGTGGGCCTGTGATCCACGCGGGCCCATCAGGATACCGCAAAGCCCTGGACACAGCAGTGGGGTGAGGCGTGAGCATGGGCCTGTGTAAGCAGGAGTATAGACTCCTAGTAGAAGGGTTGCTGCGGACTTTGGGGGAGACTGTTTCTTCTGGGATTGTCTTCTGTAAGCCAGATGCAACCAGGGTGGCCAGAGGGTAATCGTAGCCACCTCACAGTGAGATCCTTCCTGAGAAGGATGCTCTCTACTGAGGACATTAAAGTCACTCCACTCTACTTCAGACTTTGCAAGGAGACTCCTTGTTCCTCCTTTAAGCCAGAGGTTCTCTGACACTCTCAACTAGAGCTGCCTTCAAACACCTGTTGTGAGTTGAATTGGGTCCCCCTAAAAGATATGTCCAAGTCCTAACCCCAGGTATCTGTGAACATGGCCTTATTTGGAAATAGGATCTTAGCAGATCTGATTATGTAAAGATGAGGTCGTACTGAATTAGAGTGGGCCTCATAAGACAAAGGGGTTGGGGTGCACAGACACACACCGGGGAGGATGCCACATGAAGACAGAGGCGGAGATGAGGGTGACGTGTCTACAGGCCCAGGAACACCAGGAGTTGCCAGCAACTACCAGAAGCTGGGAGAAAGCCATGGAATTCCCCCTCAGATTCTCTCAGAACTCCCAGAAAAAAACAACCCTCCCGACACCTGATCCTGGCCTTCCATCTTCCAGAACCGTGGGGGGAAAAATGCATGTCGTTTCCATCTGCTTTGCGGTACCTTGTTACGGCAGCCCCAGGAGACTAATGCAACACCTCACGGATGTGCTGAGCGTGGCAACATGTCCCACCTCTTCCTTCCAGGAAACACGCCTGAGAGGCCTTTATGAAGGGGAAACTGTAGTCCGCCATATTTACCTGAAGATGCAGTTTGGGCAGCTGTTTCCATCACATGCATGGCCTCTGGACTCTCCTGCCCGACTCTTTCCCCAGTAGCTATGCTAAAAGCAATCTTAGAGTAGGCCCTCCTGATATCTGGCCTGGATTGATGTAAATCATCTGCCTTCTGATTCTCTCTTGACCCATCCTCCACACCACCTCTGTTTCCCAAATGGATTTTTATCATTCCTCGGATGAAACCTCTCTATTGATTGCCTATGTTCTATAAGAAAATTCCAAGCTCTTCAACATGTCACTCAAGGGTCTAAAGAGTCTCATACTCACTTCTCTCTGTCTTGTCTGCCCTCACTCCTCTGCCACATGCCCTGTACTTTGATTATATTAAATTTTTTTATTGTAGCTGAGAGCGGTGGCTCATGCCTGTAATCCCAGCACTTTGGGAGGCGGAGGCAGGTGGATCACTTGAGGTCAGGAGTTCAAGATCATCTTGGCCCACATGGTGAAACCCTGTCTCTACTAAAAATACAAAAATTAGCCAGGCATGTTGGCAGGCGCCTATAATCCCAGCTACTGGGGATGCTGAGGCAGGAGAATTGCTTGAACTCAGGAAGCGGAGGTTACAGTGAGCCGAGATCATGCCATTGCACTCTAGCCTGGGTGACAAAGCAAGACTCTGTCTCTAAATAAATAAATCAATAAATAAATAGACTGTAAATATTCCACACACTTTCACAGTTCCATGTTTTTGCAAATGCAGTTCTGCGCAAAATGTTCTGCCTGTTAGTTGGCTCACACAGGATTCAGTCTAGCCCCCTTCACCTACCTGCCCTCCCATATAGAAGAAGCTGGAAAAGTGAAATCCTGTCTTTTCCGGCTCCCTTGCTGCTAAGGATAGCCACATGACCCAGTTCTGGCTAGTAGGATGTAAGAGGAAATCCACAGGAAGGTTTCTGCTTTCCTGATAAAAGGGGATATCATAGCTGGCCTCCCCCTGTCTTTCTCCTTTCAATGTGGACACGATGCCTGGAGCTGCTGCAGCCAATCTGCAGCCATGACTCAGAGGACAAGAGAATTCTAGAAACCTTAGTCCCAACACTACTGAGCCAATGTACCACCTTTAGTGCCTACCTCTGGGCTTATTATATGAGAAAATAACCTTCTATTTGT